TTGATAACTGATGACCGTTAGTGTAGGGCTCAGGTCTCATTGTCACTTTCATCCCTTTGTGGCAGAAATTCAAACAAAATAATGATAGCTGCTATCCCTGGGTTTGCAGACCACAGAATAGGCAGTCCTACAATCACTAGTTCTCTGAAAGGGAAGGTACATCTCAGGCCTACTGACTGGGTCTGCAAGCCCAGGGAAGATGGATAGTGAGTTGGCAGAGGGCACCAAGAGAAGGACTCAAAGAAATAAGAAGTTAAAAGAAAAGGGATGGATATCTTTGTACAATATAAAATGCAAGATTGCTAACCTTGGGAGATACATATAGGATGATGGATATATGGGGAAAAGTGTTACAAATTTAGATGTAAAATGCTACCTGGGTTTTCTAATTTATTTTTAGATTCCATATTTGGGTTCTATTGAAGTTCTGTTGAGGAAGTACCTACCTAGAACCAGTAAGCGTTTTGAATATGGCTGTTATTGATATATTTTGATTTGTGCTAAAAAAGAAAAGCAGTAGAAATTTAATGGTTATTTTCATTTTTCTTTCTCATGATCAAGGAGGTAAGAGGGGGTTCTTCAGCTCATTGCTGTTCCTCATGTCTGGATCCTGGGAATGGTAACTGCAGTTCAGGGGTGTCTCTTGCTCATAATTATCAGTTATAAATGGATTATAAAGTGATTTTAACATTTCAACACATTTATATCAAAAGTCCCTCTAAAGAGCTAAGCGAAATATCCTGCTTGTAATTAAGGTCACAAATAAAAGCCAGGTGATCAGTCTAGATCAGGGTCTATGAGGAAAGCATAGCTCTGGGCCAGATATTGAGTGGCTGGCAGAACATAAAGCGGGAGGTAGGTAGGCACAAGTCCAATGGGATTGATAAGAATTTGGATCTACACAAGCCAAAGTAGACTAGGAGTACAGACCAGGGAAGGATCTGAATGACACAATTCTGTCCTGCCCAAGGCCTAGAACTTACGGGATCTTAGCAGGAGCCCTTCTCCCTTTTTCTTGCTTAGCTATTTCTCTTCTTTTCCTCCTCAAACCCACACCCTCCTATATGCCCCGCAACAGGCATGAGAAGTAAGTATAGTCAAAGGATATTATTCTCGTGTGCTGATTTCAGGCCAGTAGATGGATTTTTATTCGTGACCAGGAAATGTGCATTCTCCAAGGGAAATGGTTATAGTTATTGTCCCCAAGAGTGTCCTGTCTGAGTGGTTTCATGGTTAAGAAAGTTCAAGAACACTATTCTAAAATCAGTAAAAACAAGTAATAGTCTTAAAGATAATTTTAAGTTTTTAAATTTCTTCTTTTGGGGGCAAGTACTGGGAATTGAACTCAGGGGAACTTGACCACTGAGCCATATCTCCAGCCTTATTTTGTATTTTATTTAGAGACAGAGTCTCACTGAGTTGCTTAGCAACTCTCTTTTGCTGAGGCTGGCTTTGAACTCTTGATCCTCCTGCTTCAGCCTCCTGAGCCACTGGGATTAGAGGTGTGTGCCACCATGCCTCGATTATCTCATTATGATTTTTTAAAATAAATTTCATATAAAATTCCAACATATTATCAGCTTTACCAAGTCATCTCTCCTATAACTATAAAAATATGATCACATTTCCTCTTCATATCCAGCTGTTTTCGTGGGAGACTCTACTTGCCAAACTAAGGATCTAGCCAATTTAAGAATATTTTCAAAGATGAAGTGACCCCACCTGGGACAAGTTCGTCATCCTCCTCATGCTTCAGTTTCTTCCTGTTTAAAATGGTGGCCATGCCTGCCTAGTAGAGTTATGGTGAGGAATAAATGAGTGAGTGTGAAGTATTTAGAGCCTGGCACAGGTGGTGCTGGATGTGTGTTAGCTTGTTTCTACTTCATGGATGCCCAAGACTTCTTTCTGCTCTGCCCTGAGTTTGTCTAGGTCAGACACCTCAGTTCCCATAGAGGTTCCTCCAGAAAATACACAGAGCTAACTGTGTACTCCCAGTGACAATTTCTGCCCCCATACTTTTGTTTCCAAAGAAGGATATTCTGTTTTCCTCCAAATGTGGGTAAGGCGTTTGGCTAAATCCAACAGAGCCCATCCCATTACTTTATGTGAGATATAGGTAACATTTGGGGATAAAACAGAAAAAGACAGCACAGAGGAGGAGACTCCATTGCAGCACAAGTACAAATCCAGTTGTGATTCTTACTAGGCTGGCTGCTGTGCTTTCTCAGCCTCTCTCAGATAGCAGGGGCCTCTAAGTTAGGAATCTGGGCCCAATCTTGGCTCCAGATTTACCTGCTCTACCATGAAATTCTTTCAGGATTATCCATGGTGGGAACAGCTATTCCCTTCTGGGAAAATCCCTTTGCTCTTCACAGAATTTTAGTTAGCTCCTGTGACACCAATAAGAAAATCCATCAGGAAGCCATCATTGGTGTATTTCCCACATCCTACATTTATGCACAGTCAGTCTTTGTGAAAAAGGACCAAGCACAGCTGATTTGGTTAAAGTACAGTGAAAAACCCAAGTCCCCATGTGTGTGTGGGTTTCAACAGCCCACCTCAGCAAGGCCAGGCCACTCTATAAGTTTGTGAAGATCATGTCTTTAAAGTATTGGGTCTTTAGTAATTTAGGAGTCATGTATCAACAAAGTCCCCCTTTTCCTATGTAATCATTGAATCATTTTCACTTAGTAGCCACAGGCACTGATAATGAAAAAACAAGGAATTTTATCGAATGTCAAGATAAAAAAGTTCGCCATTTACTTAATATTTCAAGAGAGAAACCAAAAAATGTAAACCTTATAATATGCCAGGTAATTTAAAATATCTTATATTAGCATCTGCTAAAACTCTGTAATAAGACTATGATCTTTCATGTTATGGTTGATTAAAATGAGCTCCTTAAAAAAGGTGAAGTTATTTGGCATAGGTCAGAAGGCTATTAGGTGATGAATCTACATGAAACTAAAGGCCATGTTCCTTCCATTCTCCTCTTTCCATCTGTGGAGGTCTGACGAAATGTATTGTGCTTCTTTAATTTCTGCTGTAATATATTGTTAAAAATCTGTTACTGCTATGAACAGAGGCTGGAGTAAAGCCAGGAAAGTTTGAAAGACATTTCATAGAAGTTTTGAGCTTTTAATTGACAAGTTGAAGTTGATACAGCTGACAACATTTAGAGGCAAAGCACGAGTCAAGCATCCTCAAGTTGCTCCTTGAACAGAGGCACAGAAAAAGGGAAACCTTGACCACTCCCTTCCCTAGTGTATGTCTGTGGGCTACTAGTCACACCCCCTCCCCATCTTCCCCACAATTTGCCACAGAAAGAAAAACAAAATACCTTTTTAGTGTAAGGGCAGGAAGTAGTCACAGCTCTTGCTTCACTCCCTTACTCACTTAACTATCTCTACTCATTTTAGGGCAAATTGGTAACCAGAATATGGAGATTGTCTTTGCTAAACAATGTTAAAGGGTAGCAGGCTAGTTACACCTGTGAGCAGGGTAGGATTTAGATATTGTGTCTGGTGTCTTATAACCTTAAATTCAGGGGCTTAAGCAAATTGTATTCATCAAGAGCTATTACGGGTACCTTTGTTCCTCCTTAAGCTGATAGAAAAAAAAAAAAGGTCACATTTACTTGGAAGCAAAAACATCTTAAAATAGCACTGAATCTTGCACATGTTGAGGAACAAATAGTCACATCCCCCTATAGTGCGAAATCTTCATTTTACTTAGAACATGGCTGACATGTTTATAAGCTAAGTTTCTTTTCAAACCAGTGAATCCCGCAGATGTCTCATCTGGGAGGACTTATGAGCTGTGTGACTTACTTTATTGTTATTGTTAATAATAAAACAAACTGTTCAATTTAGAAATAATTTTTTAGCCTTTTCATGTTTTTTTGCACATTTCCTTTGTAGCTTTGAAAGAGTCCTTTGTATTTTAATAGTTTATTCACTGATTCCAATAAAAATATTTTAAAAAAGGAAATAAAACTACAATAGGCATTGGAAAAACATCATGTCTTTAGAAACCACATTGGTTCTGCTGATATTAACAGGATCAGGTAGGAACAGATAAAACTTCTCTGATAAAACTTCTCAGATAAAAGTGCTTTTCTGAATGTACACAGAGTGTTTGGTTATATATTGATGTTGCAATGTAAATTTTCCTATGATGCTTAGGAAATTGGATTACTAAGACTGAAGCAAATTATTGTAAGCTGAATACCTAGGAACTATATGGGGAACCCAAGAAGACTCTATAAGCTATTCAAGAAAGCATGACACTTCACTTCCATAAATGGGCCACACACTATTTGACAGATTTGACTTGACTTATTTCTAATACCTCAACATGTGTTTCATTGAACACTAGGAGTCCAGGAAATGGAGATGGACGAAGAACATCTTTCATCTAATGCATGGGATGTTAAAGTGTTTGTTTACTTTTTATATTCCTTGCCTTTCCTATCGTTTGCCTTCTCTATTAATAACCATCCTTAAGGGGTTCTTGTAGCAGTGGATGGATATAGCAGATTAGTGGAAGTCGTGTTAATTTTCATATAATGTCTATCCATACTTGCATTAACACATTTTATTGTTTAGAATCAAGTGATTTCTATCACTACTGGCAAATAGATAAGATTCATAAGTCAAGTATCATGTATTTTCCCCCTTATTTTCTGTATTACCTATGCAAACAGGTATAGGCATCCATCCAGTGGAAGGTAAGTGATTAGTTGATATTTGAATGAAATCTATTTGTCTCTTTATGATTAGAAATACTGAAGCATAAGACTTAAGGAACTCTTCAAAGTTACACAGCAGGCAGGTATTAAGGGAATGGGTCTCATTTTTTTTTTTTGCTCTTCTAATTGATCCCTGTTTTCCTCCAGATTCTGCTTCCTTCAAAATAAAAAAAAAAACCCTTATATAAAAATCTGACTTTTTTACAGTATATTTATCAAATATATTTACAGTAGATTAATTTTTTTACAGTATATTTATCAAATGAAGGATTGGTTGGCCTGGCTTCCTTGACAAAAGCTCTTGGAGATGTCATCGTGCAGTTGTACAACTTCAGATTTCAATCATTTTTTTTTCTAGAATCTTTCAGACTGAACAGAGATTCTCACAATAGCTATATACAACGTCCATTTCATTCACTGAAACTAAATAAAAAGAAAAATCTCTTTCAGTCAAATGCAATTCAATTTATTGTAATATGTGTGATCTACTTCATAAGCTTGGGGTACAAATAAGGTCATGTGGTAGTCATCAGTGCTGTTTACCAAATATTTCCAGATTTTGACTCCTGGCAACATGATAGGATTGCATTTCCTGGCTTTCCGTATGGTGGGATGGGATTATGTGACTAGATTTGGCCAAAGTGCTGAGAACAGGGTGTATGTCATTTCCAGGCCACAGTATTTAATCTCCATCTGAGACCCTACACTGAACACTCTTTCTTTGGCATGGTGGATGGGTAAATGCTTAAGATCGTAGCTTCTCCATCAGCCTGTGTATTTGAGTGATTAAGACAAGCAGAGTCCTCTATTGACATTAGCATTGATAAGAAAAGAACCTTTGATATTTTAAGTCACTGAGATTGGGATTGTTGTCACTATAACATAATTTATTTGTTCTGTCTCAAAGAGGTGATATTTCTTTTATTTTTCCAGGTAATCTTTGGAAACCTTAACATTATCATCTTCCCTCTGCATCAGTTTGTCAAAAAAAAAATTCCATGATTTTATTATATCCAAAATGATCATTAAAAAAAGTTAAAGTGCCTTATCAGTCAAGTACTGCCTTTACTCTGATGTTGGCCATGTAGTGTGCCCATGGTTTCTCACAGATGAATCATTTTTTGTCTGCTAACATGATGATGCATACCCTAGAAGATACAGATCTCTGCCTGGGTCTAGGTAGGGCCACATGCCAAGATAACAACTATTAAATTTATGCCTTCATCCTTAGCTACTGCCCAAATTACACAGTAGGAAAGGGTATATGGACCCCAGCACTCACTGTATGGAACCATGTCTATCTCCTGAATTCTGGGCCATGATGGAAACTTCTGGTGCTTATTGCTTTATTCAGTCAATGGACCCTATTTAGAACAGATGATCCATCAGCGAGATTCTAATAGTCTTTGCCACCAAAAAGGAATAAATCAATGGTTCATGTAGATAGACATACAGATACACAATTAATTCAAACATGTTAACCTGACATGTCATTATCAGAGTGACTGATGCTCTTTTGAATTGGAGGAAGATTTATAGAGGTGACCATTGATTTTTGGCCTCCAACAATAAGATTTTTTTTCTTATTAGAAAATTGGAGAAAGGAAGTACAGGGAGAAGGACTGAAAATGGACACATGAAAAGTGTTAAGGATATAAGTAATATAGAATGGTTTGAGCAGGTGAGGGTGGATGATAGCAATCGTATTTGTCAGGATGCATGGGCAGTGGGAAATATCTATAGATATTATTTCAGACAACAAGACAGTAAATCAGATGGCAACTTCCACCAGAGAATGACAGCTACTATCCCAAATCCAGCATCCTTGGAGACAGAATGTGAATTGCTAAACCTTATGTGGGACACATGACTCCTAGAATTGTTACCTTGGGTTAGAGAGAGGAAGCATATTGGGCTTTTAAAATTCATATTGGGCTTTTAAAATTCAGACAAAGAAATAATGATTCTGAAAGAGATCATGTCCATCATCTCCAAGGTCATCTCCTTTTCCATCCATAATTCTAAACATTGTGGTGACCGTAGAGCTGGGATTGTAAGGGAAACCTCAAGGTAGCTTGCCTTCCTAAGAACTTCCTCCCTAATAAAATGCTGTCTCTTGTTCCTGCCACCCATTTCATATGCCACAGGAAGCAGCTATGCTTTGTGGTCAGACCAGGGAGAGGGGGATTAAAACCAACACTTTAAGGCCAGCCAGCTTGAGATTTGCTGGCTACCCATTGTTATCCATGCCACAGGATACACAGGCTTGGGGGAGTTTTCTGCAAAGTTTGTGGGTAGCTTGTGCATTCTCATTAATTAGGAAATTAGATTGTTGACTATAAATTGGAGGGTACGGAATGTTTTTATTTTAAGTTGAGGAAATGAAGCGTGGGAGGAGAGATGATAGGCAGGCTTTTTACATCAAATTGCATGGTTTGCTTGTCTTTGCTTTGGGGGTCATGTTCACTTCAGCACCAAGCTGGTCCCTTGGAAGCCCACTCAATCCTCCTGAGGATGGATTCGTTTTACAAGACTTCCTGTATGTGCATGATTCTGAGTAATATAAGTAACCATATTGATTATGAGTCTTCTTTTTCTTTCCCCCAAATTGCCCTTCAGATTTTCTTGCTTAAAACTCAAACTTAAATCTCAATTGCTTTTAATCTTTAAACCAAGTCTCTCAAGCTTACCAGTTTGTGGATAATACATAACAAATAGTAATAGTATCTGTACTAGTTAGTGTAATTCTAGACCTCTAGCTGTATTTTAAGCAGTTCTTTCTTATTTTTCCCACTCTAGCTTCCCTTACTGGGATCCAAATCCAAAAAACCAATGAGGGGTGGTGCATTCTATGGACACAGGGGTTTTCTCTTGAAACTGGTGCCAACATCCAAAATCTGGCACCAAATGCTCTTAAAGTTCTTTCAAGGCCCCTTACAGTGCTGAGGTCCCTGCATTTCTCATTGTAGAGAAGCTATGTTGGATTCTATACAAATGAGAATGCTTCTCTTCCATTTAGTAGCTGTGCTTCATCTGTTGAACCCCGGAGCTCCATTGTCCAAGTCAAAGCCTATGGCTCTCAGCTTTACCTATATTTTTTTCCTCATAGGACTAGTACTAGGGCCCATACCTGAAGTAGAAGCAGTCTGTTCTGTTCTTCGCTGTAACAAATGAGAGCAAAAAATTCCAACAAACAAGGAATAAAAGCTATAGTTCTTATCTACTCACTCCTGAGGTTTATGTAAATTCCCATTCAGACTCAATCCGGATCCCTACACATCTAAGAAAAGTTACTTTGTGCGAATCTTCTTTTAACCAAATGGAGGATGTGTGAAATCTGGTATTAAAGAGTAAAAACAGTAGCTTTTCCATAAGAGTATATATGTGTGTGTGTGTGTGTGTGTGTGTGTGTGTGTGTGTGTGAGAGAGAGAGAGAGAGAGAGAGAGAGATATTAAATTAAGTTCCTATATAATGAATAATGCTTTTATGATTAGAAAGTAGGAGAGTAAGTCAAGTCACTTGATATTTTCTTCTGGGTTTAGATGGTTCTAATAATTATGGTCTGCATGAATAATGATCCTTAGGGTTGTTCTGGGCACAGAGCCCTGGGTCTATGGTAAAGCAAATGGCAAGTAGACTCGAAATACAAAAACTCTCTGTTTTTACTGGGATGTTCTTCTTTTCAAAAATGAACTATCATCATTAGTAAGCATGAAGTTTCATTTGACATTTCATATTTGATATGTATAAGCATGTCCCACTAGCTTATATTTCTAGAATGATTTTCCCAATATGCAATTCTTCTCATGTCCCTGCCCTGTGTAAAATTTCTCAACAGATCTGTGGCTTTCGGATATAGATCATTCCCTTCAGCTCTATTTGCAAGTTTCATCTTTCGTTATCCTCAAACTCCCCTGCTTTGTTTTCCAGCCATCCTGAAGCATCCACAGTTTTCCAGCAATCATTCTTTATCCTGGTTCTAGACCCTTGCGTAGGAGAGGCAGGAGGTTCCTCAATGTAAGAGTTAAATTGCAGTCAGACTTCTCATTTTTGTGTCTGGTATATTTTGAAGGAAAAAAGAGTATTTCATGTCATCTTTCTGAGACTCTTGCTATTTTCTCCATCCCAACAGGTTTTGAGCTTAATAGAGAAAGCTGACAATCTCCCCTAAGGGCTCTGATGTTCCTTTGTGCTCCTCAACAAAAGTAGAGAAGAAACTTTTAAGGTTCCTTGACAGTAACATGAATCTCTCTTAGTTCTTTTTTATTTTTCATTTTGTCTTTCTAGATCAATGGCCTTTAGTTTTAAAATTGGCTCACAGAAACATCTGCCTTTAGAATGTGAGAGCATGCCATAGTCTTTCTCCCCTTCTAGGAGTTAACCCTCATAAAATAAAAACAATGTATTAAAGTGAAGAAGCCTACTTATGTCTAAGCCAAATCACTGAGAGTGGAAAATAATTTTCCATTCAAGTTGGAGGGAAGGGCATATTGAAAACTTCTACCTATGTGCTTCCTTATTTACTCAGAGGAGAAAGAAATCAAAATTTAAGATGTAACAAGTTTAGGATACTTTCCCGAAGCTGTAATACCAAGTAGGAGTGTGTTAAATTTCCTTTTCCAATAAAAGTATCACACTCCTAAGTGAACAGCCTCACCTTTACCCTCTCCCCATTTGCTCTAAAAGTGGTGTGCCTGAGATTTGGACTTCACTAACACCTCATTGTGAGTAGAAAAAACAGAACAGAGCACCACGGAGCAAGTGAGGACAGAGGGTCAGTGCACTGACCTGGATTCTGGGACTTGAGTTTGTTGAACACCTTCACCCTACAGGGTCAGGCTAATTGACCCATGTTGCCAAGGATTGAGGGCTATGCGCCCTCTGCTGGGCAGAGCAACAGATGCGTCCACCCTGCAGCACCTGGCCTAATGAAAGTTAAACTTTTGCAAACACTGGGGCAGATGTTCCTGTCAGTATTCAGAGAGATGATCACAAAAGTACAGCCTGGACTATTTAGGGAAATATTAAATCAAATCTGAAGAATTAAGGGAGAAGAACTCATTTTATGTTCTAGCCAATCAACTTCATAGGCACACATTTCTTTACTGAGGAATGTAGCTATAAACTTCTTCTAATGACATTTTTATTCAATAACACAATACACGAATGTGCGTGTCTTGCTGTTCAGAGTAAATGGAAGCACAAGGAGAATTACTGATTAACTCAAATTTTCCATTCAACGTAATGTACACTTTTGGGGGAGTAGAAAGTTTGATATATATGTATGCTTTTACTTGTGTTTAACAAAGGTCCTTCTAAAACCAATTTACTAATTTCA